CTTTTACGGAAGAGATAGTAGATATCAAGATCTGCAAAAAAGTTCCTTTAAATTATTGCTCGAATTTCCAGCAGATAAGTAAGAAATTTAAAATTTGTGTTTTTTTTTTCTTGTTGAATTGGAATCGATAACTCAAAAAACATTTCATTTAAGTAACTTAACATTGCTCCATAGTAAATTAGACAAATTTTTCTTTAATCGAAAGTACAGTTTGTCATAGTTATAACTATTTAAAGAGTAATGATATAGAGATGATTGGCCGTGATATAATATGAGGAGTTGATCGGGGAGGTGAGGGGAGGGGGTGCTGTCAAATAAATACTAAATTATAAAAATAGTATTATTAATTTATTACGCCGGCGTTTCGACCCACCTTGCAGGTCTTCATCAGGGCTACAAAAGATACAAAATATAAAAAGTACATGGTGAAAATGAAATAAGTGAATGTTAAGTAGATTTTAAATAAGAAACAGTTGTCTAATAAAGAAATAATAAGATGACATCAGAGATATATTGGGTGACAATGTAGTTAAAATATCAAGTATTATATATATAGAAGATACAAACAAAAATAGTAAATAAGTATAAATAAAAAAAGAAAACAAAGGAGAATATAATAAATATACGACAATATTATATAAATATACATATGCGGTTTTCATAAATGTATAGATTACAGTGATACAAATATTAAAATTTGTATGTATAATTTTATACAAATAAAAATATCCACAATTAAATATAAATAAATATAGCGTCTATGATTTTTACTTTCACTTCCCCTTTGTCTGAAAGTACTTATTTCTGTTAAAAAGAGGGTGGTAATTGGAAGTTGTGTGTTGCGCGGACCGCTCCAGGTTTTATAGGTTTTTAGTAATTGTTACAATAATTAAAAATTGTTACAATTACTTGATAATGAGCTAATAATCAGCTCGAATCGTCGTTGAATGTAGAGTAAAACATTTGGAAGTATAAGGGCGTATATATTCCTTGAAGACATCATACATAAGAACATTGAGTGCCCTTGAAAAGTACTACTGTATTAGCTAAGTAGGCAATATACTTTTATAAATTAAAAGAGTGTCTTATTGGAAATAAAATTTAACAGATTAATTTTTATGCTTTCTATTTTACGTTAGGTGAAGGGTTTTAGTGAACAACTTTCTTGTTTTCTTTATCGATTCATATATTGATAATATCTACCATTTAAAGGCATTAGGTAATAATTTTGAATATTCGCGTGCATTTCCTATTAGCAAGATAAATTAATGAACAAAATGTGTTAAATATGTACAAATTTACAAGCCTTCCAAATCTGAAAGATCCTGAGTAAGCATAATGACTAGCAGGAAATCTCATAGCTCCTTGCTCTACCTAGTCATTCAACGGTTATAGAAAGAAAAAAAAAAGAAGCTGAATATGTAATTGCGGATTGTACGCTATTAGAACCAAAAGGTTTATTCTTCAAGGATAATTTGTATGAGTGGATGTGATGGTTAAGATTGATCAGATTTTCGAAAGTACTAAGTTGAGGAATAGTTGAATTCATGCTATGTATGGTATAATGGTTAACGTAACGTGGATCATTAGTAATAGTTATTAGGTTTTTGAGTTGGAAATAAACTCTCTTTGTTGTGATGTTTGCTGTCTCACAGTTCATATACTCGAAGTTGATATTTTAAATTACCGAGTGATCTGTTGATATTTTATTTTTTGATTCTTCTTTGCGGACTGATTTATTTTTGTGTTTGTTACTGAATCTCGTCCGTCAGTGTTTAACCACTCCGTCATATTCCATCAGTTTAATACTTGGGGATCATATGATTAAAACATATTTTACCTATGCTTTAATTATTAGTCTGTAATTGTCCTAGAGAACTGAAGTCCGAGAGAAGAATAAATGAGTATGTTTGAACAACATATACAGTTAAAGTATTCTACATATCGCATCATTGCCGACAGATTCCTTTTCTTACTTTTTTATCGTAATAGTTTTGGGAAATTCCTAGTTGGTTATGGCAAAAAGGTGTTGTATAACTGTTATCGTTTGCTGATACTTATTTAATAATCTTCAGTCCTAATACTTTTAGTTTCGCAATACTTTCCGGAAATTCTTTTTGTTGTTGGACTAGATAAAAGAACGTAATGAAACAAAAAAAAATTACTACGAACCAACTCAGTGTCGCTAGGTGTCATAGCTTTGTCTTATGGACAGGTAGTATTATTTCTATTTGTAATGAGTAGTTTAAAATAGAATCAATAATACGAAATCACTTATTTCCGATGGCGTTTTGAGAATGATACGGGGAGGAGCAGTTGTTGAAGGGATGAACAAAGCAGGGTCTTCGCCATCTGCCATGGCATGAAGTGGGGAGGCCTGGCGACAAAAACTGGTACTACCGCCATTCGTTGCCAGGCAAAGGTCTTTGTTTAGAAATTAAATTTATTTTCCTTTACTATTCCCATTGCCTTTTTTCAAATGCTATTAGTTTATTTTTAATTCTTATTTTCTAGTTGGCTGCTCCTTTTGAATATAATTCCGAATATGTATCAATAATTATTTTATTCCTCGTGCCATCCATGTCTTTGTTTCTTTATTCCATTACCATTAGTCGCACTTTCCTCGAAAATAATAGACGTTTAAACTGTATCGGAGGTGATGTTTTATCCGTTTCGTAACACTGAAACACGATTATTAGGGAAGAACGAATGATAATATTATCACGTGTAGTTTGGGAGATGAATTGCGATGTGATTATTAGCCATTTCAGGAAAATACATAGTGACCGTGAACAGCCTTAATCCAGGGATCTAGACAGATTTGTTATCCTCTTTGTACCAAAGTGGATCGGCGGGAAGGGCTGTGGCAACTTGGCACCAAAGGGATCAGTTAAGGTACCATTTCGCTAGTACTGCCCAAGACTCCTTTCTATTCTACTAAATAGCAGTGCTTAACTGCTGACTATCGACGCGGCGGGCTGTACCAGCGATAGTATCTTTATGGAGCTATGGATATTCTGCTTCTTCGCCTTAGAAACAACAGTCCATAACAGGAGTTAGTTCGGATGATTCTCGTCTAGGATGTCTGTGTGATCCAACAACTAATGCGTCTGTAAGAAGACCGCATATCGCAGCGAAATATTTAAGTGACCATTCGAACTGGGGAAGGGAGGTATAGATATATAAATCCCCCTCTAAATTTGGGTCATATTTCATAGTTGAGCACAATCAGGCTGAAATTTAGTATATCGAGTTATAATCTAGCCAAATCAATAACGTTAAAGTTGGAGTAAATTTACGTTTGACAGTGTTTTTTTTTTTTATGGATTTTCTGCTTGTTAAGGTTTCGCAAACCACTACAACCCCTACAAATTCAGCCTTCAGGTCTCAACTTAGTTCTCCCATCTCCTCCCTTTTTAGCGCGGTTTTTAAGATTTAGCGCACCTCAAAATCCCCGCCAGATTAAGTAGAAAAGAAAATTTGTCAATGAATAGACTTGTTGTTGAATAAGTTCTTTTTTAGGGGCCTTAAATATTTTTTTTTCATGTCTTACCATTTTGATAAATTAAATTATGAAAGTTAAATTATTATTATTTTTTTGTTATGTGTTGAAATAACACTTATAGAACTAAAATGAATCAAAATTATAAGGTGTTCAGTCTGCGTAAAAAAATCGAAAATATATATTGTTAAATCTGTTTTAAAAATTTCTATTAAATAAAATACTTACCCCCTGCGGATGTTCTTGGAGTCATTGTAAATATTTACTGATATTTTGCCGTAAACAAAAATGCTTTTGGAAAATGAATTATCAAAATTTTGCGTAGCTAATTTGTTGTGCATTAGTTATAACTTGATGTAAACAAAGTACTTCAAAATGAGTCCATAATCGACATACTCTGATTTTCCAATCTGAAGATCTACATTTTTCATTTCAGTCAAGTGTAACTAGGGTTTGAAAAGAAATTGTGTCCTGAAAGAAAAACCTAGACTTCATAAATTAATGCATTGAAATAGTTCTATTAACAATTATTTCAATGTTTATTTCAAAACCAATTCTATGTAATTTAAAACTATTAATTTTATCCTCCCCAAAAATATATGGAATATATAATAAATTTATATGCTATAATTGAGGTTTATTTAAAATCCCACTGTCCTGAAGAAATAAACGTCATTCTTATCAGTATCTACTACTGCAGTGCGGACAGAAAAAAAATCATGGCTAACTATTTTACTGAAACTTTATTTTAAATTTTAAGGTTATAAATTCTATTCACCGTTTTAGAATTTCTCTTATAAATAGAATTCGCTCCTCTCCCAGCTAAGTGATTTGTTTTGTTCAAGTTTTTTTTATTGTTTTGCAACTGTTAACTACAGTAGATTTTAAATTTTATGGTTTCAATGATCATTTCAGTTTTTATTATATTTCAGTCCTATTAGACAATGTTTATTTATGTGAGATATGCTTTGAATTATTTAGCTTGAATATTAGATTATATATATACTTTTTTTTCTTCAAATAAGTCATTGTATTGCAAATGCAGATATTTTTGTTATTAAATATATTTTGTATAGGATTTACGCCCACTATTTCCTTCTTGTTTAATAAATTTTCATCTGAGTTATATATATATTAAATACAGAAATATATGTGTATATATGTATGTATGTATATATATATATATATATATATATATATAATATATATATATATATATATATATACATACATATATACATACATACATATATACACATATATTTCTGTATTTAACTTATACATTGTAAGTAAAGTTCAATTTAATTTAATGCATTTGTAAATATTGTATATAAAATTTATAATATTTGTGTGTGTGTGTGTGTGTATATATATATATATATATATATATATATATATATATATATATATATATATATATATATATAATGTACATACTTGTTGCTTATTTTGTTTTTGAAAATTTTGTTCTAATTTTTTTCTTTTCTTTTTTTTGCAGGGCATGCCAGAAATGGTTAGTAGATAGCTTCATTCTTTTTTTTTCTGCAATGCACTCTCCATAAGTATATAATTTTACAATATAATTTTTAATGTTATAGTTTTAAAAGGTAAACTTTTTTTTTTATGTTGATGTTGTTTATGGATTGTTTTTTATTTTGTTTTTGCAATCAAAGGCTATCGCTATTACTAAAAATAATATTCTCTTGTTTATGATTAAAAACACTCAACGAATCACCTACATGCATCATTTCATAAGTAATTAAAATGTGTGTACTAATCTTATTGAGGTATATCTGTTTTATAATATTTTTCATTTATCCATATTATTTCTATTTACAGTTACCAAAAAAGATATTAAAATAGACAACCGCATCAAAAATTATCTTGGTTTTACATACTTGATATTACATACATGAAAATTATTTATGTATTAGCTTTTATGTTAGAATACATAAAAGCTATGGAATGTACGTGAATTTCAAAAAGGAAATATTTCTTTACAAAAACAATCTGACCATTCCACCGAACGTCCTCGGAATATCACTTCGTCCGTGAAATATAATCGTATATTACCAGCCTTTTTTAATTTTTGTATTTTATTTTGTAAAGCAAATATAAGGCTTATAATACCTGATAAATTTGTAATACTTATCTGTTTTGTAATGTAACTAAGTGTTTATGATCCATTATTTATTTCCTCCGTTTCTTCCTATTCTCCCATAAATTAATATGTACGTATATCATTTCGTGTAGAAACTGTTTAATTGTTTTAAAAAGATTTAAAATTTCTTGAAAATTAAATATAGTACTGCATAAAAATAGCCATTACTAGTACGAGTAAATCTATTATTTAAATGCATGAAACATTAACATGTAATATATGTTTTACATTAAATTTAATTATTACCATTTTATATGAGTTAATCACAGTTGAATATATGATTCTCTTTGTTGTGAGTGTTTATATTCTATTAATTTACACTCAAGATTAATTAATTTGTTGATATTTAATGAATTAATTGTGACCACACCATATTATCTAACTAACAAAGAGAAATAAAATCTGCATTTTGTGTAAAGTCTATATTTTTATGTTACATAAATATTAAGAGATATTGTTAGATTTCATGTTTATTAAAATATCTTTGTTTTTTTTCTCTAAGGCTGTGATCCACCAATATGCATAAACTTAAAAGAAAAAAATATTTCGAAACATAAATTTCTAACACGTTGCTTGCTTAACTACTTGATAACTAATTGCTTTTAAAGTTACGATGAAATTCGTAGCAAATTCTTATAATTACTTTGAAATTAGGCTATTAAATAATCTAATGTTATTAAATTAAATTAGCTTTTGGGATCAGGATAATGAAAACAGCCGTGGGTGGCAGTCAACGTTGTTTAAAGTGTAATAAAATGTTTGATTTAGAAATAGTTTATGCCTTCTTATATTTTTAAATTTTTGGTGGCATATAATTAAATTAAATTCAAATCAATACCATTTTATTCATTTATGAAGTATTACAAACAATGTAGGTACATGTACTGTGTGAATTCGTTCCTGATTTTGTTTTTCTTTTTTACAATTTTTCCTATCCGTTATCTTATCATTTATGTACTTCCCGTTAGACGTAGATGCATTTGCTTTTTGCCGATAAAAAAGTTGTAATATTGGGTCGATACATATATCATAAAGGCTAAGAATAGAAGTTTTTACTGCTTCTCCTATTTTGATATTTTAATGTCGGTTTCAGCTGTGACTCGCTTGATTTATCTCCTCTTAATGCTAGTCTCAGATAGTAAATTCAAGTTCTGTTAGTTTATTGAGGAGACAATAAACCTTCCAAGAACAGTAAATTTCATGCATGTTGGTGTGGACTAGGCGTGCTCAGGTAGGAAAAATCAGGTATGCCACCTGATTCCATTGTTGCAGAAAACTGGTGTTGACCACATGCTTTTCGAAGTAAGGATGACGAATCAAATCATTACCGGTTTGATTTTAAACTGCTGATGTATTTGAGACGAGAAATATCTTCTTCCCACCACTTAGTTTAATAAAACACTTTTCCACTACCATGAACAAAATAATCGAAATACCAATAAATAAAAAAAATGAATCGTTTAATCGAACTAAAATGATCTATTGAGTAATCGGTTATTTATTTTCGTATAATAACTCCAGTCCCCAATCATTTGGTTTTATAACTGTTCTCTTATTTCATTTTTCACAAATATTTATAGGTTTATTTTATTTATTTTTAATGCTTTCTCTGTAAGATTATTAAGATTTAAAAAAAAAAATGGTTTATTCCTTTTATATCTAAATCAAACGACTTTCTATTATTTAGGAATTGAATTTACAATAATATTGTTTAATATTATTAAACATTGTTTAATATAATATTCAATGATAAAACTACAAATTAATTTTAAGTATGAAAAATTGTCAGGATGATGTGCTGTTAAAAATATCTTTATTGAGTTAGCCAACGTTTCGACGTAAAAATGTGGATCATCATCAGGGCAACGGTTTGAAACCCGGACAAGAACTGAAGGGTACTGAAATTACATTATCTAAGGAGTTATTGCCCAGTCAAACCATTGGATCTGATGACAGAGCCACGTAACGATGGTCAACTCAGTACAACTGTGTATACCCATCTCTAAATTAAGTCTAATATATTATGAAATCATTGTTAAAAAATCGTTTTAAAAAATAAATTTTACTATAAATTAAGTATTCTTTCGTTATTGATGAAGATAAAATCATAATAACTGTGTTAACGGTTTCGAGAGATTTATGTTGTTCTGAAGAAGCTTTCGTATCATATGTACATCTGAAACGTGTAGAAAAGAAAGAAAAACTAAATAAAAGGAACTAAATTTACGTAATTTATCAGTACATCTTCTTAAAACACTCAATGTTTATGAAAGAGAATATGCTGACGTATTGAATATTCTGATTGTACAAGTAGATCAATCAGGACAAATTAAATCTATAATTTACATGCCTTGGAAAAAAAAGTGTATATATATATATATGTGTGTGTGTGTGCATGTTGTATATTGTAGTACAGAATGAGTGTTAAAAAAAATGTCAGATTTCTTTTGTTTTTAAATCCTTTCATTATTTCTTTTCTATAATTACGTTAAGATTAAAACTTTTTTTAACGCTAAATTGTTTTTTTTTTATGAATATTTCAGTCGTGCTAATTATTTTTCGGCATATATTTTTTTTTTTTTTGTCCCCGAAATTCTCAATATTTTTAGTCTTTGTCATAGTGACTTGGTTTGACGATATGGACAGCGAAAAGAGAATGAATAGGGTATTCGGTTCGAAAAGGAGTTGATAATAGAACTGAGATCTGTGATAACATCCCCCAACCCCTTCGTGTAGGTGTGCCTTTTTTATCGGTGTAGTACGGCGGCTCAATTTAACTTCCAGCAGCCCCTCCCATTTTTTATATATTTTATTTTTTACTAAAGATATATATATATATATATATATATATATATATATATATATATATATATTATTTATTTATAAGAGATAAACAAAAGATCTTATATATATAAACCTTATTTAGACAAAAAAATTCAACTGTGCCTGAAATTTTGTAGTTGGTCATTATGAAGGTCACCATACACTACGCACATATTTACGACATTTTCTTTAAAAATTGGTAATATAGTTTAATAAAACACTAACGATAACGGCTTGTTGTCTATTGCCGACTATTATATAGACGACAAACCGTTATCGTTAGTGTTTTATTAAACTATATTACCTATTTTTAAAGAAAATGTCGTAAATATGTGCTTAGTGTATGGTGACCTGCATAATGACCAACTACAAAATTTCAGGCACAATTGAATTTTTTTGTGTAAATGAGATTTATGTATATAAGATCTTTTGTTTATCTCTTCTTTACATTGGCAATTTTAAAACAGAGCTTAACATTTTATAAATTATTTATCCTAAATTTCTATTCTTAATTTCTGTTGGAACATAAATACTATGAATTCGTGTTAAATCAATTTAATATGTATTGTACAATAGTAATAATGCGAAATATTTCTCTTTTCGTTAAATAGCAAGTTATTTGAATTTTATAATTTTTTTTATTGATATTAGAAACATGCTATATCATAACGAATTAATTTCTATTCGTTACGGCTCTAGTCAAAGAATTGTTTTGTTGGTAGTATTGTGCCCAATGGCGGCGCCGGTAACCCTCTCAACTCAACTAGTCTGTACTTGCTGATTGTCATGTCTTTTTGTTTGCTGAATATTCTCTCTCTCTCTCTCTCGGTATTTTTTATTTTCATTAAACTAATACTAATTAATTAATTGATTAAATATGTACGAATTAAAGTTCTGTCTTCAAATTATGTAATTCCCAATGCTGATGTATTTCTACTGAGTAAAAATGAACTGTTGGTCCTATGTTTATAAGTACTTAACTGTTTGTAAAATTGCCTTAATGGTATCCATTTTATAGTCCATAATTTATTAACTGACTACTCATATACCTGTACATGATAATAAACAGGTATAATAATATTTCTTTTTGTTTAATTTTTTAATCACTTGTTACCAAGCAATGCACTATATTATAATAAAATAGTTATATTCTTCTATTAAGTTGATAAATAGAACAAATCTGCAAAACCTTAATTTTAATTTAAAAATTATTTAATTTATTTTTTTTTTCTAACTGTAACATGTGATAAAAAGTTACCAAAGCATTATGATACTTTTATTCTTACAATTTTACAAAATTGAACCTTAAATATATATCCTTCTCTACAAGGGAAGCAATTGATTAAAGTTTAGATAAATTACCATTTGATAATAAAGAATTAATAGTGCCCTGAAGGACTAACAATCAACCTTTATCAATTTTTCAAAGTTCAATTATATTTGTTTTATTATTCTTGAAATTTTACACGTTTGAAGTATGAAGGAGGTAGAGTTTTTTTTTTTCTCTTATTTAAATATAAAGATTTGTGTTGCTCAAGTTTTCTTCTTTCCATTATTACTGAATATGTTAAATCTATCCTCTACCGAATCCAGGATTTAATTTTTTTCGGGGGCCTTCAGCCCAAAAGACTTTTTTTCAAATACATAACAATAATTACTTCTAAAAAAAGGGAAAGATACTAACTACTTATGTGAAATGGTGTTTAAGTGATTCTTGCAGTCATATTAAAAACAATTAAGAAACAATAATACCTATTTTTTAATATTTTTTCCCATAAAACATAGTTATATTTTTCCTTTTTTGGGGGGAGGGGTGGAGAGGGGCTTCAGCCCAAATCTCCCCTCTTCTCCCTCCTCCCATTCTCCATAGATATGCCTGTGGCTCTATCTACCTTTTTAAAAAGGAAGTAATTGCATTTTTAACAATAATCATCCTGTATGTGCACTATTTTTATTAGTGTTTATACGTTTAAAAAAAAGTATTTTATTCATCCTATTTTTTAGAAATCGCTTACTGTTCATTTCATATTCTGAATGTTTTTTAAAATTTAAAGAAATTTCGGAGAGAAGTTGGTTGGGGCTTCAGTCAGTGAAATTAAAAAGTAAAAATAAATAAATAATTTTTATTTTCTCTTTACCAGGGTAAGTTTCAGGCCTAAGAAAACACAAGATAACATGAAAATATTGAAAAACTAGTATTTAAGAGATTTAGTCTAATAAAATGTAGGTTGTTAAACTTAACTTTAATAAATCTGCGGAATGTCAAATATATTATACATTTATATAAATAATAGGTAACAAAGCTGCGAATTATAAAATAGTAGTAGCATAGTTAGGTTGTATAAGATAATGGTAACGATGTTAGAGACTTATGAAATAAGAGTGAACTTAAGAAGTCACTAAATAGAGGTGATGAAGTAACCAATAATAAAATAACAAAGCAGTGATATATAAAATAATGGTTTGGTTTATAAATTTAAATTTGATCAACAGTTGATTTATATAATAATAGTAACCGAGTTAATAACTTATGAATTTACAGAACAAACTCAAGTAGTTATAAAATAAAGATAGTAAAATGATGAAGTATACAATACCAAAACCATGGTAACAACTTGATAAAATTAACAAAGAAATTAAAAATGAAATGGGATATTAAGAGATATAAGTCTTAAGTGATAAATATGAAATAAAAAGGGTGACGAAGTTGCTGTAAGTTAATGTCTTAATATCTTAAGAGGAAGTGAGATAAATATAGAATACAAATGAAAAATCTAGAAAAGGATTATTAAGTTGTTTAAAAAATAAAATGAAATGAAACTAAATAGTAAACTATTGTACACATAGAAAAGAATTGAAAAATTAAGTTTTGTTAATTAGAAGATAAAATGAGTAAATGGTATCTGATATCTTATTCTGTATTAATTATATATATATACACACACATATCTATTTCACTGACTTCACACCAATATCATCTACCTATGTCTCTTCAATATATCTGCTACAGTCAAATATCAATCCACTATTAAAGAATTTTTAATAATTTGGCCAAAAATTGAAGACTATACCCATTCTTCCTGTTCTCCCTACGCTTTCTCTAATTTATTGTTGCACTATAGTTATGGGTTATTATATTTATTTTTTGTCAGACTTTTAATTGTATGGGAAGGCTGAGGATAGAATATGATCATTCTCTTCTGCAATATTGAATTTTAAAAATATTTTATTAAAAAATATGTGCTTCTCTTTTGGTGTATAGTTACGATACATTCTTTTATAAATAACAAGATTTCTTACTACTAACAATTAATTTTTTTTTTTCGACAAAATCATTTTTTTCTTGGTGACATCGATTAATTTTAAGAAATCAAATGAGTCATAAATTGTCATTTCTTTAAGTTAGTAATGCCATTTGTTAAAATCTGCTTTAGTGTAATGAATGGTTCATTGTGCTTTGATCCAAAATAATGGTGTCTATCTAATAAGGTTATTTAACATGTTTGCGAATGAAGTAATATATCATTATAGTACAAAAAAAAGTTTTACAATAGTTTTCCCTCCTCCACTATGACTATTTTTGATATTTCTTGTTTTATTTATCAACCCTTCAATCATACACTAAGCTGTTAGAAATATATTTTATTATTTTGAACAGGATAACTAGTATTAACCTATAGAATATGTATTACTAGTAATTTGTTTTATTTAATTAACTAAAGGAACTTTATTTTTCAGATCATGCAGTTTCACAGCCAATAACAATGGTGGCAAGGAGATCAGGTAGCTTCCCTGGAAGTGAAGCAGGAAATATTTTATCGCCGAGGTCATCAGAAACTGGGGGGCTAGGAGTCAAAATGGTAGAATATGTTCTTGGAACTTCTCCAACGAGTAAAGATCTTGAACCAAGGATGAGAGCATTGGTCTTGGTGAGTTGAATGACAGTGAATTGAATCGGTTATTTCAGAAATGATAGATCATTTTCACGATTTTATATCTAAATTTTTAAAAGATTCGAACCACAAAAAATATATGGCGTTAACAACCATACTTTTTTTTTTTACATTAATAGATTCATCTATGAGAAATATTCTCAGAACAATTCTCAAATCTTACCCAGTAAATAAGTGTATTTTCTGCAATATCCGGTTCAGTTGTAATATAATGTGATTTTTTAAAATTAAAATTAAAAACTAGATTTATATAATTTTTCCTTTTCATATTTGTAACTGCACCTGTTATGATGGTGACAATTAGCAGATTTGTTGATGATGTCAGCTGTAATTTATAAGTCTGTGTCCGTTTAGTTTAATATGAAACTGGGATTAAAGTGTATGTATGTTGTTGGTCGATAGTTGATGGTCTTAGGTATTTTAAGTTTTGTTGTTTACATACCAGGGAGTTGCTGTTATTAATCTTAAAATTTTAGATGGACAGATTGTAGTTTTTGTAAGTGAGTCTTTTTTTCTGAACTGTAAATTTTTGAGGTGTATGCCAATGTGGGTTTAAGTAGATTTATGTAATTGGTGTATTTTTTTGGAGGTATACCAAAGGGAAGGTGGATTTAGATGATGCCAAAGGGGTTAGGTTTAGATGGTGCCTGGTGGATGGAAGAACATAGTGATAGATTAGTGGTATCGGCATTGAACCTTCAGGTTCGCTAAGCCTTATTATTATATTTTTTTTTTTTATCATAGATGTGATACAGTTTATATTTACAGAGTTTATAACTTCCAAGTGATGTGTTTCTAATTAATTTATTAAAATAGTTTTAATGTTATATATAGATACATCATCATTAAAAATAATTGTTTACAAAATATTTACTGCATTGTTATTTTCTCATAAATCTCCAGATATGATTGCAAGAAGAGGAATTTATCCTCCCCGTCTTAGAGATTAGTTTATCTCTTTTGAGCATTTTGAGCACTGATTCATGTTTAGCTAAAATTCAATTCAATTGTATTTCTGGCATACTACAAGTTTTTAGTGTTATGGCTTCAGGCTAATCGAAGTTGTAGGGTTTCGTGTGCCCAACAAATAAACAAACTAAAAATGTCCTTGTCAGTGAAAGTGGTGTTCATGACTGTTGTTATTATACGACAGTGCAAAATAAGTCGTTATTATAGATAATTAACATAAAATTGTCTCATAAGACATTCATATATTATAAGGACATTAGATAAGGTTCTGCTATTTTCCCTCCCCCCTCCCTAAAATTAATGCTTCATTTTAAGTAAGTTGTAAAAAATATGTTATAAAAAGAATTTCCCACCACTAGCCTACTACTTTCTCCCATCTTTCTTGCTGCCTATGAATTCCACATAAAAAAAAAAAAAAGGTCCGTTTTTAAGGCTGTCCAAGAATCTACTCATTTACTGGTATCTTCATAAGAATGGAAGTGCTGCTCGACCAGGTGATTGCCATTGATCGAAATAAATGATAATTTGAAGAGACTGTATCTAAGTACAGCTGGGGAAACAAGACTTACCATTTAAGCGTTTCCATTTCTTTTTTAGCAGTTTTATGACAACGTAGTGCAGAATGTTGTCATGTAATCAAACCCACCTTATCATGGCTATTTGTATAGTGCCATTTTTGGCTTGAATGGATCAATTGTAATTTACTACAATCTTCTGTGATAGTTTCTTTTGGTCTGAGTATCTCATAATAAATTACATCGTGCTGATACCATCAAATGCAGAGTAGCTTGACTCAGCGGATATTTGGTCTTATAGACTATATTCACACATCGCTGTGGCTTACCCCAAAAAATTTTAAGCTTAGGATTATCATACTGTATACAATTTTAATCGCAAGTCTCAATTCGATGCGAAATATTTTTAACTCATACGGCACCCATTGTTCTTGGTTCTGAATCATTTCTAATGCTTTCAAATGTTTCGAAACCATTGTAGCATCTACTGGTAATGATTTTCCAAGTAGCTAGTGTCTGGCTTAGGTCTTCATAAAGTATATTAAGAAATTTCTGCAATTCTTCTTCTTGTAACCTTTTTGCTGTGCTATTCTTCATTTCCACGATTAAAGTCATTATTTTGAAGCGCCGAAAGAGCTCGCTCACCATAATTCTCAACAAGAATTCTGTGTGCTTCAGCTGCAGATTTCATTGGAATAATACAGTGAAATAAAATCATCGCAAATACTCTTTTTTACTTGACACTAAACTCAACATTTTTAGAACTATGGAAAAAAAATGTTTGAAAGTGGTGAGCCAACATACCCTGAAGTCCAAGGGTACTGACCTTAGTTCTTAAAAAATGAGTACCACTAAAATGAAAACCCAAATAGTATAGGTGCTGCCATTCGTTAAGAAACAGCAAGAATTTGTCTAAGGTCCTAATTGCTGCACAAAACCCATTGTTAATATTAAGGAGTAGGTTTTGATTCGTTTAAGATTAAGATTAATAGACCTTTTCAGTAGTGTAAGATATCTTAGTGCAGGAGAACTCTGCTCAGATACTTTATGTATAAAATTCAGATTATCCTGAACTTCTTTTTTTTTTTTTCCTGAAATTCATTTATGATAGAGAAGTTCTTATTGGCTCAGAATGGACGAACACCATGGATTTAAATATTAATTTGCGCTTCTCTCCGCTGAGCACCAGGGGCCAGAAGCCAGTTAAACGGAGAAGTTAGACCTCACTGCTGCAAATGTGGCCTAGAGTCAGAAACCCCAGCTCATGTGTTGTAAATTGTCAGCATAACATGCTCCTCGTCATCTGTTGGCACAATAATATAAAGCATCGTTTAGCCGAGTTCCTTCAAATGAAGAACTGTAAATGTTTCCGTGAAGTTCATTGTCTGGACACAGAAGGCTCGACAAGGTTTATTGACATTTTGGTGTTCAATGCTAAGGAAAACTAGGCACTCATAGTGGATCCCACGATCACATTTGAGACCAATGATCAGAATAAGGACATAAATGTACAGGCCGAGAAAGAGGAAATTTATACAAAATGCATACCTGAACTGAAGGAAAAGTATTGAGATGAATTTGGCGAAAGATAATTCTCAGTCAAAGGGCTATGGTTCGGAAGCAAGGGAAGTATCCCTTTCATTACAAGTAGGTTTTTGCAGAGGCTCGGTGTTGGGAAAGGAGCAGATGGAAACCATGACAGAAACTATTATGTTGGACTCTTTATCCTCCATCACCACATATATTGATCTTGGCCTACATTTGATTCTGTGAACCGTTCTTGGTATATTTGATATGAATTCCAATGGTCGACCTATCACTTTTAATCTCTTACAATATTATCGATAGATTCATGAATATGCTGTGAGGTTTAGCAACTCAACATAGTTAAGCAGCCGTGCAATATTATTATTGTAGTTCTCTCTTCCTTTTGTTCAAGTTCCTGTAGCTTTTTTGTAAAAATAAACTTATACTGAGTTACATTAAATAATTTTGACAGAAGTTTTAATTTAATATGAATTCATCAAAAATTTTAATATATTGTTCTTTTAATTGTAAATGTTATCTACATGATTGGATTTTATATTAATCCAATTTTATTTTTAGCAAAAAATGCCTAAATTTTCTAGGCATTAATTTTTTTTTCTATTATATTAAATGTTCATACATATTTAAATTAATAATTCAGTACTGTTCATTATTGTTTCTTGTATATTTAAACTCCTAAGTTTTAGTTTTATTTTGTTACAATTCTATAAATTATTTTGTGCTAGTTTTCATTGATACCTAGAACAACAGATCACAATATTTTGATTAAAGGAAGTTTGTAGCAAAAGCTATTAATAAATAATAAGTTCAGAAATTTCTACCATGTATTTTTTATCATTTCACAGTAAGCAAAACTGCCCTAATCACTTTATTCGAGATAACTAGGGTTGTACTACATTTCTATTTTAATCAGTGCATTATTATTAAGTTATATTAATTTATTTAGTAACTATTTATTTTTATGTTTTAGTCAAACGAAACAGGTGAAAAGAAAGACAAGGATAAAGCTCCAGCTTCCCCATATGACACAACTAATAAAAAAGAAATGGAGAATGGTGTAACACAGAATGGCGTACAAAATGGACTTGATGATGATAAAGGATTTAAGTGAGTACTGCATAAATAATCAACTTAATTGTTTGCATTCCTCTTGATAATTTTCCATGGGCCTGGAATCAATTTATCAATTACCTTAAATTAATGTGTTTAGTTTCCTGCATTCAATTTAAATAATGAATTCAAATTAATGCAGGAGAGCTTTGTGTTTGTTTTATTTCCAACTCCACCATATGATGCTAATGTTCATATTAATCAGTATTTCATTCAGGTAGGAATTGTTTTCTTGTTCTCTTTATAATATTTGGTTTATTCATATTCTCAGTTAAGTTTAGTTTAATTATGATGTTTTGATTTGCTTAAAGTTTTGTAATGTTCATTTGGCTAAGAATTTTATACCCATACAGTTTCTGTCTGATGATATGTTTTTTGTATTTATCACTTGTCATGGCTGGTTATATTACATACTTTTTGTCAACTTACCTTTATCATAGCTTTGACCACCTATAATAAAAAAAAAATCAATTATAAAACTTAATGGACTGAGTAGTTATTAGTCCTAATTGCCCTTGACGAAGATATTACGATTTGGAAAAAAAATACTATCAACTATTGTCTATGCATTATAAATTAGGGTTCTCTTTTTTTTTTTAGCAAATCTTATGTGCAACAAAAATGATTTATGAATTTCTTCAAATATAAAGCAAAGCAATGATCCTTTTTTAGTATGGGATTGTTTGGAAAGGGCATCATTATCTAGTCTATGCCACTAGACAGGAATAAATATTCTTAGAACAAGTTGCTCTTGAGTTTGGTTGTCCTTTTATAGAGTTGCAGAAACACTCTCTTGAGATTTTTGACCTCTGTTAACTTTATTTTTTATCCTTTAATAACTCACTGTTGATGAAGTACTAGTTCTATTCTCCCAACTTTTCTTTTTTCTCTTCTTTGGTGAGTTCATTCTTTAACTGCTTGAAGTTAGTTCTGTGTTTCTGTTTGCTAAATATGCTATCTCTGGTTTTAAATTGTTATCACCTTTAGTTGCATTTATAATCACCTTTATCCTGCTCATCTGTTTTTCTGAAATACATCATTTCCATTGAAGTATTTTTCCTTCTTGTTTGTAGATATAGATCCATCCATTTAAGATGATTATCCTTTCAAATGACTTATTACTGATGCAACTTTTTATAAGTGAATACAGAAAGATAATGTTAGTGCTTTTTCTTATTATCTCTCTTAAAATTCAATGTGTTTCTCTTAATAATTGACCATTTGTATTTTGATGGATCTCTGGATGTTTTGATAGTTTTACTGTTCTAATGTAGTATAGTTTGTTTTTATCACTTGCATAATTCGTTTACTTTATTTATTATTACAATAATTTTACAAGGATTGCTTTCATATCAAAGACAAATTGTTTTGAGTAAGGAGATGGTCTGGGGTTGCTGTCATAAAAAGATTAATATAGTTTACTACTTATTTTACTTAAGGCCAACATTTCGTTCCGAATTCGCAGGTGTTCTTCAGGACTAAAACGAACAACATACAAAAGGATATAGAAAAATGTGGAGGTCACGTAATATTGAGATAAAAATTATGAACAATGTGAATAAACTTATTAAAATTATAAACGCTGTGAATGGAAGGTACTTAGAAACTATATAAACAGAGTAAGCAAAGTATAACTTAACAACAAAGATAACAAGACCCTAAACTGGAGTAAATAAATGGTAAAAATGATTGTATATTATTGTAGATAGTAAAATATTGAATGCAATAAGGAGGATGGATAATACACATAATTATGAATATAATCCTTCAGATCACAAGAAAAGATAGAAAGAATAAGGAAAAACAATAATAAAAAAGAAAAAGAAATAGTGGACATAATGGGAGCTTGAAGAAAGCAGGGGAGGGGGGAATCAAATAGAGACTTATGTATATATGCAGCATGAAGTTTCGGTTGAAACTGGGGAAACATAGGGAAACACATAGGAAAAACAGCTGACCAGGTTGGTGGATGGTGGGGATAAGTAGAAAAACAGAATAAAAACCAGGAATATTACAGTATCTAAAATTTGATGATATTGATGGACCCAAGAAAAAATAAAATATCTATGAACTAGTTAGTTATAAATATGTACATATACATACAAGATAGAATTAAGAAATTATAAATAAAAATACAACTTGAATACTAAATAAAAATGAAAGGCCTGCAGAACTGATTGAGAAATTATAGATAAAGGAACAGTACAATAAGTACAAAATAAAAGTAGATGGTCGTATATAAATAAAGAATCCAAATATAAAATAGTGTGAGGGATCATACAATAATTGAAAAAATTTAAAGAACGATAAAAAAAAAAATAGATAAATAAATAAACCACAATAATATAAGATATAATAAAAAAGCTATTTTTGACTAATAAGATTTAAAATGTACCTATATGTTCAAAAAATAAATTTTTATCCACTTTATGATTAACTGGATTCTGTTCTGTATGGATGAGGATAGATTTGGAAATGAGTCTTTTTTTCATGGTTAGGACCTGTGGTAAGAACAGAGGTTTTTTCAAAATCAACAAATAAATGGTTGAGGTTCACAGCATGTTCTGATATTTTAGAGGCGGAAGGGTTCCGGGAAACTATGGATGTTTTATGTTAGGAAATATGGGTTTTAAGATGGTTTTTAGTTTCACCAATATAGGAACTATTACAATTAACAGTAGAGCAAGGTATCCCGTAAACTGCATTAGATCGATGTTGTAAAAGTATAGGATCTTTCAAGTTGGTGAAAAGGAATGAGAATTTGTATGAGACTTAAGGCTAAGACGTAAGTTGATAATAGTCGATTTTAATTATTTTTGTATATTATCTGATAAAATACTGTGTTTGGTTGTATAGATGTTGAACAGTTTTAGTATAGTGTTGAGCGGACAATTATTGGAAAGTAATATATTCTTCACACGCAGAATGTTGGTTTGGTGGTATTGTGGATCAGATAAAGAGAGAGATCAGTGAATTAGATTTTTGGTGGTATGGGTGTTAAGAGTAAAAGTTAAGTAGTCTGTCTGAGTATGTGGGCTTAGTATACCATTCAGTAGAAATTGAACTGTCAATGTTTCTGATTATTAGGAGGTCTAGAAAGGGGAGTGAATCGTTAACTTCTTTGTCAATAGTGAAGCGAAGGCAGGGATAGTAGGAGTTAAATAAGGAAAGGATTTGGGGGATTCTGTCAGGTTTAAGATCAAGGATGAGATCATCGAAATTTTTAATGAAAATGTTATCTTGATGGAAAGAAGAGATAACGGAATCCAAGAGGTCATTAAGAACTATGTTGCAAATATCAGGTGCTAAAGAACTTCCCATGGTTATACCTGACATCTGATTGAAGAATTTACCTTGGAAAGTGAGGTATCTGGATTTGCAACAAAGCTTTTAGGGTATGAGGTGAGGTTGAGGGTAGTGTGAAATTCAATGATTGTCCAATTTTTCGTGCAATGTGGAGGGCTTTGTATATTGGAATGTTAGTAAATAAGCTTTCAGCGTCTAGGGAAACAAGCATAAAATTATCAAGGATATGGAGAGTAGAAAACTCTTGTTTTAGGTTAAATGAATTATTAACATCATATATATTATTGTGGCTAAGCTGTTAAAGAGGGGGTAGAAAAAATTTGCTGAGTTTAGCTGAAGGGACGTTTATATTAGAGATAAAAGGGTTGATGGGGATATCGAGGATTGTGAATTTTTGGGAGGCCATATAAGCTGGGCGCTAAAGAGTTATAAGGGCTAAGAAGAATATAAGGTTGTAGTAAGTGGAACGGCTAATTTGTTTTGTCAGAGTAGGTTTTTTAAATTTTAGCATTAGTAAGAGGGTTAGGTCACGAAGGGAGGGTACGTAAGTCGATTGGTCTGAGTTATACTTTGTCGGAGTATTTGCTCCTGTTCTTGATAACTGTCAAATTTCCTTTATCAGTCTTAGTAATAATGAGGCTCATTATTTTTCATATTTCACTGTTACGATAAGTAAATATAAATTACACTAATATATTCAACTTAATTCTGTTAATTTTTAAATTTTAATGTAGTAACCTAAATAATTATTTATTAGTTAATACTAGCACTATATTAATAACAGTTAAGCAAAAACTAACAGGGACCACGTGAGGACTCTAGGAGTTGTTTTAAATTAATTTTTCATGAATGTAACCTATAATTTTTTATTATTCAATTTTAAATCTTTTGATTTCAGTCGGACACCAGGGAGTCGACAACCATCTCCCTCCGATGAAGATTTAAATAAGAACAACTCAGTGGTTGTTCTGGAGGGAAGCCATCTTATGGGACATTTTCCTCAAGGACATCCTCTTCTTGAGTCACACTTTGAGGCACCAGTGATGCTAGATGGTGGAGGAGTATTTGAAGGAGGAGCAGCCCCATATCACCAGGCCAGCCAGCAGCCCATGGAATCTCCTAATGTGCTTCCACCTTCCTTTGATGTACAGGTGAGATTTTTTATACAGCGTTTATTAATTTTATACAGCGTACTTCTAAGGTCTGTATTCAGAGAATTATATACATGCACGACATCCCAGGCAGTTTTTACATTCTGATGGCAACATTTTTTAACATTATTGGATTGGAGTAACATTCTGATGATACTCCTATTTTAACCATAAACTAAGAACCTATACATCATAAATGTCACTTATTAAACCATACTATCGATATGAATTGTGGAAAACACAGTTATGACAAGTCCTAACACATGTCATTTACATCAAGAAGGAAAACTTGTGCTTCTATATATCCTCCAATACTCAATTCTATAGATACTCAAATACTTCAAACAGACAATGTTTTCTAGGACTAATGTTGATAGGAGATTGACTTTTTCAGTTATTAACCAAAAATGCATATCTAGTGTAAGAATTATAAGAACACTATTACCTAATAGCCGCTCAACATTAAAATTAACCAATTCAGTCTTAGCCTACAAACCTCCAGGTTCAGCATGATCTCAGTCAAATCAACTCCTTGTATATCTGTTCACTAAAAAACAGTACTTTCTCTAAATCGTACTGAATCTAAGAAAGACCCTTCATGATTTATAATGGAACGGGTTTATTTAACATTATAGTTATTCAGCTCTACAGTCCCTAAAGAACCAGAATCTTCTTAGGTATAGATTCTCTCTCTTTTCCATCCTGAGTATGGGTTCTCTATCTTTCATCATCAAACCAGATTATGTCATCTTTACTCTGCATTGCACACTGGTGTCATCTTTCTCTTGGGCATCTTGCAGGGGGCGTCCTGTCAACATGGCCAATCAATCTATTCTGAGCTGGTCTGTTGTGTGCTACAAGGTCAGGGCACACAGTGCAAGTGTCCCAGCTTGATATTCCTTTAGATTCCGCTTATAATGACCACCATTTTAAAAGGAGCCAATTATTTTAGTAAAAGCTATTCAGGAGTTGTTCATTTGCAGTGTCAGAGTCCATTTCTTGCAGCCATATGTGACAAACGACTTATTGTTTTCTTGTAAACTATGAGTTCAGCATGTGAGAGCACCCTGAATTTCATGGGCTTCTGAACTGCCCAGAAGCCTCCATTTCGTACAGTTATATGTGCTTTTATTTCACATCGTCTTCCTGTTATCATGATGTCAAAACACTTAAATTTGTGACAAACTAGAAAATTATGGTGCTTAATTGATAAGGTTGTCTGGAATAGTGGTAGTTTTGTTTGATACCTTATTTACCTGGTAGTTTTCATTGATTAGCAGGTCTCTTCAACATGATTCTTAATTTTTGCTACCTTTTGTAAAACAAATAGGCATGACTCCACATCAACCAAATTTGATTCGTACTGAATAGCGTTTAGGAGTTAACTATTCTAGTACACATGTGATTGTGTTGTTGGGATACTGGCGCCAGATAAGACGACTAATTGTTCTTTATTTTGTTGACAACCCACAAAAATAGGCACCACTATCATTCCTATCATTGTTAGCAAACTAGAAAGCTTCAGTTGAAAGTCTTAAAATATTTTTATACCATAAATAATCCTAAATTATGAGATTGCTGGATTGTTTCTTTGTTTTATTCCCATTTCTTACATATTACTTTATTTATACTTTTGATAGACAATCTACTGATTTTCTATATTAGATAAGAGAGGATTTGGTATAAGAAATATTTATTCAAATTACATTCCAATTTTTTTTCATTTTTATATTAAAATATTGCTTATATTTGAGGGTTCTATTTTTAATTTTTTCTTTGATGTATACATTCAATAATTTTTGCTTCCTCATTACGTAACGTAGAGAAACATTGTATTCGTGTGAGAGGTTAAAAAAAAATTTGTGCTCAGAATCGAAAATTTCCACTCGCGTTTTACTTTATAGACACCAAGGATCAAATTTGGTTCGGTGGCTGTCTGTAGTCAAATCGATGTTATTGGTCATGTCATCTACTACCATTTATCTGGTTCTGATGGATTGTGCGGGTTGGTGTCTAGATTGTCCTGTATCAATTTTATTAAATTCTAACAAGCACTCTCTTGTTAGAAGCTTATGCAGGCACAAATGAATTTTTATGGATAAGCCAATATTTCAGAAACTTTTGGCTCAAAGTTGGATAAAAGGTAGGTGTTTGTAAAAAAATGATGTAGGGTAATTTTGATTGAATTCTGTCCATTGATTTCTCCTATATATGCGCAAACGTTGTTCTTGATACGTCTGTATCTCTAAAACCACATGTTCGATTTGGCTCAAACTTAGAGTAAATTTAGGGATTGGTCAACATAAAATGACATAGGCATCAATTTTATCAAATTCTATCTAATACTCTAAAAAAGAATAAGAACTTTTGCTTTCAGATCAGGAAATGTATTGTTTGATATGCCTATAGTTTGAAAACGGCGTTTTTGATTTCACCCAAACTTGGAGAAAATTTGGATAACAGTATAGAAATTACTTAATATCAATTTTATTGAATTCCATTTAATAATAAAATTAATATAAATAATTGTTAACACTATAATGGCTGTGAATTGTGGAAGACTCTGATCATGTAGTGGGAGTTCTTTAATACAATATTGTTATGGGGTTATATAAATTTTAGGTTTTATTCAAGAAGTTAATTTATACTGTATTGTTTCGTCGATTCCAAACGTTACTGGCATGACACTTATTGCCGTTACATAGATTTTTTTAAATTTTTAGTAAATTTAAAGTAATTTTTACTCTGAATTTGTAAAAAAAAAAAAGTCTTATTTATGAATGTAGTTATTTCCATTGAAGTTAAACCAGCTTGTCGTGGTCTCGATTTTCTCATTAAATATCAAAATTGTGTCCACTTCACTCATATTTTTATATTCTAGCATATTAGTTTTGTTCTGACTGAAAAAAAGTATTGGTCTCGTTAACTCCGTACAAACCAAAAGTTGAATCTTTTCTATGGATTTTTGTTCCATCCATTTTACGAATGAAAACATACCTATTAAGTATATATCACTACTGTTAGTGCAAAGGTCATATGTAAAAGTTTTCATAAAATATAAAATTATATTAATAAATCATAAAGAAATAATTAATTTTTTTATTCTCCTGTAAATAACTCAATTTTTATATACGTCATTTGCACTAAGAGTAGCGGGATACATATTCAGTATGCACTGGAATTTGTTTTTAATTACGAATTATCGAGTATGCAATCTGCAAATGCGGAATTTTTTCGCATTTTAGTATTTGCTGATAAACAAAACTCTTGGAAATCATCCCTTATATATATATTGAGGGATTATTGAATTTATGAAAACGGCTTATTCCAGAGATTTTATTCTCATAAGAAATTTTTTAGACCTTTTAATATAGATATTTTATAGCAAATGAAAATAGTGGGGAAGCTATACTGACCTTACTTGGCAGATGTTTTTCTATTCTTTTTGTAAGACTGAATTTCCTAACAAAATATTTAAGTTACATTTATTTATTATTTTATTTAATTATCTGCTACTGAATATTACGATTTTAATGTTTATAAAATTTTAAAATAGCTGATAAGTACTCTTGGCTGATTAAAAATAATGCAGAGTAATATTTTTTCATTATTCTATCATTATTATAATTATGCATTTCGCCTTTTGTAGTTGAAAAGTTGCATTTGAATAGTATGAGGTAGATAGCTTTTGTTATTCTTTTCATTTAAGGATTTGAACCATCACCCTATCCTTTAACAGTAGAGATACTGTACACAGTACAGAATAACTTTTAAGAAGACAGATTTAACACTAATTAACATTGAAGGAAAGATACTTGAAGTGTGTAATATTGCCTGTAATAGCTCTTTTGGAACCAAATACTTACTTCAATCACTTGAAACAGCTGAATGTTTAAGGTGTCATTACCCATCTTTGAAAGAACCCATTGAAAAAATCTAAACAGAAATGTTTATGTGAAAATCCATAAAAATAATCTTTTAGTTGTAATTATACCACATTTTGAGTGGAAACTTTCTGTTGTTTCCTGGTTAGTAGGCCCTCCTCAACAAGAATTTAGTAAAAACTTCTGTGAGCAATTTTAGGATACTCTACTGCGTAATCTATATGGGATAGTGAGTTAATTACAGGAATAAATGCAATTGAGAAAACCCTCTTCTGATTTATTTTTCATATAGCATATTTAGGAACTCTTTTTTGTTAATGGGATGAAATGGTTAAACCTGTAGGATTAGACTAAACATTTCTTAAAACCTATTAGGTTTTAAAAAGCTAATGGAACTGTAATTTTTTATAGTTTTCATGCAAGTATACCTTTAACTAAAATTTTTTTTTTTTTGTATGGAATTTAGGAGAGAAAATATTATCATTCTTAATTCAATTGATGACAAACAATAAAAAGAGCATTTTTTAAATCTTGATCTTCCTTTGCTAAACTTTCAACAGTTATGATGAAGAACATTTTCTTCAGGGGACATTATTATAGGTTAATTTTTTAGGTGGGTTAAGCTATCTAAAATCACTGTAAACTGTCCGAAATAAAGAATGTCAACTCTGTTTTACCTTGTCATACAAAGCTGGAAAAAAAAAAAAAAAAAAAAAAAAAAGAGGTATCAGCTTACTTATATAATAAAAAATATTCGTCCTATAGAAGTGAACACTATATATCCTTGCTCTGTTTACTAAAACTGATGAAATAACATAAATAAAAACAATTTAAGATTGATTTGAGTCTCTATGCTTGTTCTATACCTGAGTTATAGATTGTGCTTAGCTGTTGTACTTTATCACCTTCTATGTGATTTATTTCTTGATATTTCATGATCTTTACTTATGAAAACACACATTATTATTTTAGCTTTTTCTCTAATTCTAATGCAATTATGTTTAGTGATGGAAAAAATGCTGTATTGTCAAGACAAATTGGTTATTAATGTTGGTATCCAAACTGTATATTTTAAAGTTCCTGAACATATTGAAGAAACATCAGTTGTAGGGTTACTTTTATCTAGTTGATATTAGAAATAATAATAGTAATGGTAATTAAATATATGTATTCAAAGTTATAGGTCAAGACTTCCCTATAGTATTAACAAAAACACTTATTTGATTACAATAGACCTACTTTATTTGTTTTTTTACACCAAAGGTTCAGCCCTAAGGCTATTTTTAGGGGAAGAAACCTTTAATAAATAAATCAATCATCACAACCTAATTTTATTTGCTAGTTAATTATTTTCATTTAATACTTCAGTTTACATAACTATATTAAATAATTAAAAACTATTATAGTATGAATTGCCCTTGTCAACATCACTTAATTAGTCAAACACACAAATACTAATTAAATGATGTTGAAATGGCAATTTAGTCCATAATGATTTTTAATTATTTAATATAATTAGAGTGAAGTGGGGTGGAGTTAGTGCAACCAGGTTTATTTCTGTTTTCATTTTTAATCTGTTATTGTGATTTAACTATTCGGAGTATGGAAATTTAACTCAGCATGCATTATTTAGGGTTATCTGGCTACGATATCCTGCAATTACAGTATTTTTATCATTTTCTGTAAATTTTTAAGATTTTTATGTCCACTGGTTGCACTTAACCCATGCATCCGATGTAAGTGCAAACTCACTGTACGATCCTCCATAACAGCCAATACAATTGACAGTAGGGCAAGTGTGTTTTAGCTTGTGTTTCATTGATTCTGTCATTATTTTTTTCGTTGTTTTATCTTAAACTGTTTGTGAAGATATGAACTCTTTCATGAGTCAACATAGAGATAATAAGAAAAATGGTAAAATTTCAAAATCAGGTTTTTGTGTGATTTCTGGATTATGTTTAACTTTTTCAAAAAATTCACTTTCTCTCCCTAACTACACTTGCCCTCTGT